ATTTGTAGCAATGTGTGTTAATGCGTGAGGGATTATAAAAAAATTTCTTAAAATGTCTAACAAAAAAAGGAATTGAAAATATGAATTGTTTTAATTGGATTCTTGTTCGAAATTTTTTATTTGGTTTTGTTTAATAACAATGGATCGGTTTTTTTTTTCTGAAATTATTTTTTCATAGCTTATTGTAGATATTAAAAATGTAATAAATAAAACATAAATTTTGAAGCTCTTCAAATGTTTCTCTGTTTAATTTTCAATTGGCAATTATGCTATTCATTTTATATATATGAATTACATTATGTTTTCCAGTTACTTTAGCTAAATAAGGGATTTCAACTAAAAAACTAAAAAAATCGGAACACAATATTATATTTTTAACAATAATAATTTAAATAAACTATTATTATAATGATACTAAGAAATTATATAATATTTAGTCAAAATTTTCTTTTCTTTCAGGAATAAATTTGTGTTTCTAAAACATATTCGAAAGAAAAGCAGATTTTCAAATTGAAACAAAAAAAAATGACAAATACTGTTTCGTATGTTTAATTTTACACGATTAAATTTAATATTTTTCTTTAATATTTGTGATAATGCCATAAATACCATATTTATAGAAAATTAAGAAATCGTGCAATATTACGCAGACTTAAAGACACCATTATTAAAAAAAATCACCGATATCAAATATAAATTTTAATATTTCCATAAGTTGAAAGTTTTATTTAAAAATTTTGATCATATTTTAATCAACGACTAATTTAAAATTACAAGAAATTTGTTACAATAAAGAAATTAAACACAAAAAATTACTGTTTTAAGTAAATAATAATAATAATAGATTCGTGACCCAGTGGTTACGTGAGCTGCTAATATGTAAGAGGGTACAGATTCGAATCCGCTGGACACTTGCATTCGGGTCATTGCTTAAAAAAACGTGGAGACTCAATAACGAATATGATAACCTATGTAATGTGTCTCTTACCGATGTTAAACTGTCTAATGGGAGTTTTCAAGGTTTTCTCCCTTACAACACGTGGGTCAGTAACTCTAAAGGTCCTCCCAGAAAGCAAAGTCTTCACGACTGTCAGTACACAAATACAATAAATAAAACACATTAAATAAATACGATACAAATAATGCAAATAATTAAAAAATATTACCTAGAATAAATACATAAATAGTTCACAGATGTTTAAATGTAAAAATAAATAAATTTGATTTAATCACAAAATTGTTTTTAGGAGAAAAAAAAACTTAACGCGTAATGAAATTTGAGAAAGTGTATAATAAAAATCAGTTAGCTGTTTAGAATTCAAAGACAACTCAATTAAGTAATCCTGCTCACATTTCCGGTAAAGTGATTTCAGCTACCACACACAAATAAAAACAACCCGACCCACCTTTAAACATAAACTCAACTGCATTGATTAAACTACCTGAAACTCACCTTCAAGGTAAGGTACGGGAGGGATTCACAAAAAAAGGGGTGCGATCTTTATTTATGAGCCACATACCAAACTACGCTGTAGTACCTCGTGGAGGAAAGTTTTATTTATTGCACATGCATTGAATACGAACTTGATTAATCGCAGAGAGCTCGTTTTTGATGTTTCGAAAATGCTATGCAAATATATGAATCTTGTGAAGGAATCCATTCATGTGAGTA